ATAGTTGTCGATTCCCCTGCGACATAACTACGTATTATAGGACGACCACTAGGCGAGGATTAAGCCTCGATGTCATCGACGTGGTCGGGCATGAAGTGGGTATGGAACGAACGGTCCTTCGCACACGGACAACCAGCGCGCTGGTTATCGGCCGGCCACGACCGCTACAAATCTTGGGCTATCGTCGAATCTCTCCTGGTTTTTGGTGGCTCTAATGCCTCTGCTCTCGCTTTCGAACACTGCGAATGCTCAGAGAGGGACCGCGGTAAAGAGAAAGAGGCAAGGGCAAAGGGAGAGCGGGAGAAAGAGAGTACGTGTGTGTACATGTATGCGGAGTAGCGAGAGATTTGAGGGAAGGAGGAGGAGGAGAGGGGAGGGGTCGTTGGACTCCGATGGATATCCGGTACCCATATATACCCATCGGCGGCGGAAAGGGACACGGCGATCGACGATGGTACTTGTGAACACGGGGAAAGAGTGAGGAAAAGAGAAGTCACCGATGGTATAGATAGTAACTAGGGATCTCCCCATAGCTCTTGGCGTGGCGCACATAAAGAACAGAAACGTCGGGACGTGTTCAAGACGAACTGCGCTTACGCGGATGCGGATCGCGCTGCGAGAGGAGCGGCGAGGGAAACCGCCCAGGAGAAGACGGCCAGGATATCGGTAAAAGGAACAAGAGCGACCAGGGCGAATTCATTGACGAACGAATCGTCGAAAAATTATCGATTTCGATATTATCAATATTATCAGTGACGCTCTGAGAAATTTCTGCGACAGTGATTCTCATACAATCTTATACAAGAGACTTACACACACACACACACACACGATGCAGAAAAGAAATTATTCTCTATATTTATGAGGACTCATTTAATGAGCTACTTGTGCCAAAGGAAAATTGATTGTAAAAGTAAGGCGCAAGTACATATATTATGCCAATAATCCGGAATGCATAATCGAAGCGACATTCGTTTTTTTTCTACCTTTATCTACATGTACGTATACTCGTTCGCTTTAAGATTGCCACTTGTAAACGATGAACGTAAACAATTTCTCTTACATTACACTAGTCCTCATCGAGACGCGGTGTGTAACGACGGTAGCGTTTAAATACCGTTGGGAGAAATGAGGGCTCGTTTCTTTAAGGCGAGGGTTAGTTTAAGGGCCGTTCGAGAATCGGTAGCCTCTCGAGCGATGTTTTATTTTATCCTCTTCGCTCCATAAGATCGTATTCTTTACGACCCATTAGACGAATTCATTTACCAGCCCCGGGCAATAGGTAGGTGAGGTCCGTAAGCCCTCTTTTCTCCTTTTCTTTCCTTCTCTCTCTCTTCATCACTTATCCTCCTTCTCCTTGCTTTTCTCCTCTCTCTTACGTATTCTCTTGCTCCGTCTCTTTTCTCCCTTTTTCTTCGGCGTTTGCCTTATGCGGCACTTCTTCATCGTTCTCGTCTCGAATCGGCGACTTATCCCCCTCTGCTTTCAGAGCATCACTGCTACAGAGGATCGGGACCGAAGAGATCGGTCGCTCCGTAATTATTATTCGAATGGCCGATCGAGCCCGATCAGGCGTATATATACGTTCTATGTTTACGATAACGTCGCCCAATTGATGCGCTGGCTGATGCACCCGGCGATTTAGATAGGAAAATCAGAGGCGACGCATCGATTCGAATTGAATGCACCGGCGATTACCAAGAGCGTGTACGCTCGATCGACCGTTTTTGTTACAGTATATATCGCGGCCATCCTCGCGCGCAATTGCGCACACAACGATAACCGTCGTTCTTTCCGCTGCGAGCGCATTATCGGACGCGCGCGACGTTTTAGTGCCCGCGAAATCATTCAATTGCCTTCTTTCGAATCGACGATTCGCGATCATTATGCTTGAGTAATTATGCACCATTGACCCTCCGAGTAACGGACGACTTCCGGCGATCGAGCGTTTGCGCGGCTGCGCTTAATAGCCCGACTCGTAAAATCAAGTCTTATCGAGGATTTATTGGGCGCTCGCTAAGATAGAGCAAGATTTAAATTCTTTATCGTTACCGTTAGCCATCCGTCTTGCCCCACTCGGTCTTTTCTCGGGTTTCATTGGCCCCCATCGTGCGACTCCCCTTTCTCACACAAATCCTCCTTTACTACAAATCCACCAGCGGCGGGTTTACTCTCAAATTTGGACGTTTCTTTTTTCCCAACTTGATTTTCGATCATCAATTTCTTATCTAATGTCATAAATGTCGATGATTCGCAGTGATATATTTTGTATCCCGGAGAAAAAAAGGAGATACGAGAGAGAATATATAATTTCACATATATCTCCATTCCAACTTATAAAATTAAAATGTTCAAGTTTATGAGTTATGCCTGTCGCGTGTATCTTTCAAATTTCATGTGACTTTTCTACGTAATTTAACGCGTATAAATTATATACACTATTTTATAATTAAACAATTTTACTTTAGAAAAAGGTTGTGAAAAATTACACATCCCTCGAATATTTTTGTCTCTCACATATTCCTACCTTCTCATTTCTATACATTATTAGATACATTTTTGATATTATATATATATATATATATATATATATTATTTTACCATGTATATTAAATTATATATAATTAAAATTTATCTCTCGCGATATATTAGAAAAAAGAGATATCAAACGGCACTCGAGTCGATTATACATTTAAAAAACATGTGGAGAATGTTTGCCACTGTTATAAAGTCTTCTTTTTATTGCAAAATTAATCGTAATTTGATTGGTTGGCGATTCAGAATAGGTCGCTCGAGAAGACCGTTCCCGCGAAGACATCATAGCCGCCGATCCGCCCTTGCGGAATAAGCAAGTGAAATAAAATAAGGAATATAGAGGCGGCGGGGCGAGAGGAAGCTACTCGACGCTGAATCAATTCATTAGCGCATTACGGTTAAAATAAAAGTATCCGCGTATCTGCGGCATGCGGCGTATCTCTTATGAAGAGGACGAGTGGTGGCCGACCGGTTTCTGCGACTCCTACCCATCTCTCCTCCCCCGCTTTCCCCCCCACCCAACTCTCTTTCGCCATGTCCCTCTTCCCCCCCCCCCCGTCTGTTCTTCCTTCGGCTCCTTCAACGGATCGACCTTCACCGTGATTTGCTGGCTAGCGACCGCCATCCGGCGACTCCAAGTCGTCATTATGCACCGCAAATGGCGAAAAAAAAAAGTAGGAAAAGACGACGCGCGAATCCAGTCGACGTGGGTAAGGTAAGGATGGAAAGCAAGGGGACGATCGGGGAATTCGTTGGATTCAACGGAGGGTCCGCAGACCAGCGGCGTCCTTGAAGAAGATGATATCTCGCGTAACGTCTCCGGGCTGATAAGCGAAATCGTGCGCTCGTAATGTAGCATACAGACTCCCTCGGTTTATCTAGTTTATCCGTCGACCGTGTCTATTCTTTGCGGTTAACATACGCGGGGGTGAGTTTGATACCGATGCCCGGTACATTCGATGCGATATTGTATGGCACCGAATTAGCGAGCGCGCGCTCCGGACTGCTCGCTATATTAAGGATCTCCCTCTTCCCTCTCCTTGGCGTTCGCAGGCGTAAATTTCGAGCGCCGTCCCCTCGAAGAAGGCGAGGAGATAAGCCGCGCGCGGAGAGAACGCGGACGGATACCGGTATTTCTAATTAATGCAGGTATCCGTCGAAAGAAAGCGAAAAGTGGTTTCGCGTTTAACGATCGCGCATCGATAGCGAAAATCCGCGCTATTAGTTGGACATTTGACGATCGCGCCAGTTAGGCTATAATAAAAATACGCCGCGGTGACAAATTGTTTCAAATAGGCACTTACCGTTAATACGCGCGACGATGTGACGAACGCTTATGACGCTCCTTCTCTTTCTTTTTTCGATCCATTAGCTCGTACACATTACTCGGATGAAGAAAAATTAATCGAGAATATGACGCTCTCTTAATGACGGTCCTGGTTTCTTGAAATATGTAAAACTTTTAGCAGTCTCAGACGAGGTCGATTGTAAATTGTTCGAATCGCTTCTCGATAATCGATCCTTCGATTTCTCTCCCGTGAAAAATCTTGTGCAATTTAATCGCACAATACATTTTATACATGCTTCATAAAGCTCATATAAAGAAATTTTTTAAAATAAAGATTTAATAAAGAAATGTGTAACAAAATTTTAGATCAAGTTTACAGTAAATGAAATCATTGCTCGCAACGTGTTTAAAAAAATGTCATGTCATCATACTTGTTAGAAACCTATCATTATTCGATTCGTGTTTTCGTAAATGATGGACGAAGACAAAGATTTGTAGGAAGCAGGCAGAGATAAACCGAGAGACACATGTTCTTAGTTTATAACATATATATTTATTTGAGCTTTTAATTGCATTTTAAAATACAACGGAAATAATTAAATAATGACAAATCTGGTAAAATGGTTTCAAGAGTCGCGTATACATGATGCATATCTTTGTGGTTGCGTGTTTGTAAGTAGGTAGGTACGTTTCGAGCGTATCATTCGCACGGCTGACTGTTCCTTTTCTCGAGTGTCACTGCGACAGGGTGAGCTTGTGTGTGTGTGTGTGTGTGTGTGTGTGTGTGTGTGTGTACATACATGTACGTGTGTGCGTGCGTGGGTGTGTACGTGTAATGTGTATGCACGCGCGCGCGGATGCGTGTGACGTGTTGGTCGCAGCCACGTAATGGTATCTCGTCTTACGTTCATCACACTCTCAGCAGTCGTATATAATTACAATAATAATATTAATATTATTATGTCGATAAATACTTTTTTTAAAGTCCGCGATGGAAGAATTAGAGTTTACAAGAAATACGTATACAAGTATGTTCCATTCTTTTCCGGCCTTCGTTGTTGAGGACCGCACGCACAGCTGCCTCTATCTTTCCCCGTCTGTTTCTACTGTCTCAATCTCTCTCGGAAGCATTCTTTCCTTTCTCCAAACTGTCATTCTATTTTTTTTTATCTCTCTCTCTCTCTCTCTCTCTCTCTCTCTCTCTCTCGCTCGCTCGCTCACGCGCATTTTCTCGCTCTCTCTTATTCCCGTCATCCAGGTAACATTCATATATTCTCATCTGATTCCACTTGCGCCCTATGCTCCGCATTTGTTACACCACACGCATATATGTATATCACTGTAATATAATAATTATAATTATAATCAATATACACAGTATTCGCGATAATTCGAGTGATAATAATGACAATATTTTACACGTAAAATGACACGTTGGCTCGTTCTCGTCGCAATAAATATTATTTGAACAAAGAAAATTTACAATAGTCTACACGTACGTTATACGTCGAGAAAATTTGCGTTCTTCGACGATGCATCACGCTCTCTCGCATGCATTCTTTTACTCGCGCTCTCTTTCCCTCTCTCTCTCTCTCTTTCTCTCTCCCTCTCTTTTTCTCTTTCACACTTTGCTCTTTCACACACGCATTCGTCTCTCGCGCGTACTTATTCAATTAACTTATTCGAGTCTCGCTATTGCACCGCGTCTATGCACCCTTCGGTTCTTGTCGCTCTTCTACATTCGCTTCAAGGTATCTCCGCACCTTCTATTCGCAGCAGTCGTAACGCTCTCCGAGGCGGTTCTCGTCCGTCCCCGCGAGCAAAACTCACTTGGATTTTTCGTAGTAATAAGTATCAACAAAGAGATTCCTATACAGGGTCGAAAACCCTAGCCTAGCCTATGCTCTACTAAACTACGGCCTTACAATCTAGAGGTATACATGCTGACGATCTTACGACAGGTGATAGATAAGCTTTCTTTCCTTCTCGCCGTCTCTCGCTTCCTCTTTCTCTATCTCTTCGGCTCTCTTTCTTTCTCTAATCTAACCGATTTTTTGCAGTTTTCTTCATCTCACGCAAATCTTCCTCATCTCACGTCGTAAACGTCCTTAAGTATTTATAAAATCACAAACTTGGCCGCGTGCCGAGCCCCGTGACTCAGCAATGCCGCGAGATATGGTGGCATCACAATTTAATTAACGCTCGTTCAACACCCACAACATCTCATCGTCACACCCTCTCGTGTACTGTCTTGGGCACGAAAAAAAAAAAAAAAATAAGAGTCACTGTTACAATTTGTTTAATTGTTAATCTTCTCATACCGATGGAAGGAAAGTGATACCGAGTAAACGGAAGGCGAAATGTGCTCAGGAATAATGTGTCAACGATACGAAATGTCAATTGTACAAAGTTGCACGCGCGCGTTCTTAGACTCTTATTCCCATAGCGATCGCGATCGAGGAAAAATTCTAAAGCGAAAAACCGTCTCGGGAGGTTTTTCACGTTGCACACGCGATCTATAGAGAAAGGAAAATGTTCTAAATAATTACGCGCGCGTCTATTCCTCATAATCTCGACATAATCTTTTCGTAATAATTAAAATGTAGTAAAAGAGAAGAGAGGGATTAGTATAAAAGAAATAATAAGAGAGATGTATATAAAATGGAATTTCAAACTTCTCTCGCCAATGTAGAGATTTTTAATTTTCAAAGAGTTTTGGGCGACGCACACGTTAATCGCGCCGTCAACAACCCAGGAATGATAAGACATGTTCTCGATGACAGACTAAGACGATCGCCAGAAACGGAAACGGAATCGCGTTGCGTCATATTGCGTTTGCATTTATTCTGTGACTGAACGAAATTTCTCACTATAATATCGTCGTAACGGCAAAGTTTCTTTCGACGGAGATATCCACATTTAGGCTAAAAGAGCGCGGTGACGAGGCTTAGCTTTTAAGAAATCTCAGATTTTCAAATGATGCGAAATATTACTTTCCTTCTTTGCGTATAATGAAGAAATAATTCAGAATAATATTTTAAATTTAATAATTTTTTGCTCAATTTTTTATATTCCTAAATACAATTAGATAAAAATTTAAAAAAATAAAAGAGTTCTCTTTGTAAGAGTTCTCTTATCACCAATTGTGTCGGCTTTTTCCACATTATCAAAAACGAAGAGTCGACGCTCTCGTCTAGTGATAATTATGATGTTTAACGGTACAATAACATTTCTATAATTTCTACTTTACCGAACAGGTAAATGTAGAATAGAGACATGTAAAAAGTAATTGAAAATCAGTATAATTATAATTTCAATTTTCAATACTACAAGTTCAGGAAAAAAGATTTTGCGCCATTTGTTGCGCATTTTCATCGGCATAAACAGAAATCATTTTTGCATGCTTGTGACATCGAAATCTAAAATTTGTAAATTTATACTGGTTTCAATTTCTAATCTTTAATGTATACTTGCTACCATATAAGATACCTCAAGACAATTGGTGATGATACGATAGAAATATTATGTAAATATGAAATCAAATTAAATATTATGTAAAATTAATCCCATTTTACGAATAATTGAACAACGATAGGCCGATAGAACGTGAATGCTCTCAAATGTAGAAAGAGAGAGAGAGAGAGAGACAAGTGATAATGGGAAATAATATTTGATACATTTACCATCGTTTGTGTATACAATCTCTCTCGTATAATTTCTTTTTCGTTTATCGGTATAGCCACGACACAGCCTCTTTAAGCATAAACCCGAAGACGCCGGATGCGCGACGACGTCGTTCGGCGCGGCGGTGTTCGCGGGGAAAGAGGGGGGAGGGAGAAGAGGATGAAAATTGTCAACCATCGCTAGTTACAGTCGTTACAATATAGATACACTTATGTACAAATGGCACCGCTACTTACGGGGCTCGGACTATACGTACTTACTGGACAATTGCTTTGCCAGCTCCGTATACTTGAGAAATTTGGAGTGCGGGCTCTCCTCGAGGGGAGAGGCCGCCGACTGCGACGGGCTACCGTTCGCTTGCGGAAGCGGCGGCGACTTGTTGCGTTGCGACGTCGGCGGTGACGAGGAGTTGCGACTCGGCCCACCGGAAGTGCCCTGGGCCGCCGCGGCGGCCGCGGCCGCTGCGGCCGACCTGCCGATGGTCAGTGGATCCGGGATGACGCCATCCTTGACAAAGTGCATCTTGGAGAGATGATGCCTGTACGCGCCCTTCGAAATGAAGGGCGTATCGCAGAACGCGCATTTCATGATCGAGTCTGCGGTAACTACCGCATCGTTGCAGGCCCAGCTGAATGCCAGAATGGCACCAGGCGTTGGTCCGGGACCCGGACCGGTCACTCCTCCTACCGTGCTGCCGCTGCCTGGTCCGATGGTAGTCGAGGAACCACCCCCGGATCTTGAAGCGCCGCTGGCACTCGGACCTCGCGTCTCTGTCTTGTCGCACAATTTTTGCAACGCGGCGAGAGGGTGGCTGCTCGTTTTACGACCTTGCGAATCGACGGTGCTTCCACCGGCGCCTCCGCCGCCACCACCGGACAAACTGTCGAACATGGAGGAAAGCGCTCCAAGACTACTCGATGCTTTAGTGTCGGGCGTACCGCGTGGCGTGACCGACCGATCGCTGCTGGTAGGACTACTCGTGCTGTTTCTACAAGGACTACGCGCGATCTGTTCCACCTGATTGGTCGGTCGTGGCGTAGGTGGATTCATGCGAGGTGACAAAACTTCCCGTCCGTCCTCCGGCGTCTCGTGGAGGCTGCTTCGTCGGTGATTGTAGGAACTCTGATCCTCCTCGTCTCTGCAGTCGTCCACTATCTCCTTCTTCACAAACACTTCCCTCGTTGATTGCTGCGATTGCTGTTGCTCTTCCTCGTTCGCGCCTCGTTCCTCTGTCTCCTCGTCCCTCGGCTCTTTCTTTACCACCACGGTAGATGGTGATTCCTCATCTCCGGATTCTTCGGTAATCGGATGATGGCGATTAGATAACGGCGCGGTCTGTTTCTCCGGAGTAACACGATGATGATGGGACAGAGAGCTCGAATGTCTTTCATGACTCGTGGTAGACAAATCTAGGCGTCTTTCCGGTGTCATGGTATCCGTTCTACCGCTTCCTCGCTCTGATATTGAACTGGACTCGCTACCGCTTCGCTCCCTTCTGGCCGCGGCATTCGCATTGTAATGTTGTTGCTGATGCTGCTGCTGTTGATAAGTTCGGAGTAGATTCATCGTTTGCGGATCCACCAGAGGTTTCGTGTAATCCACGCTCTCGTCGATGCCCAAGCGTTTGAGAATACTTGTGCCCATAGGTGCGCCGGGTTGAGCGTGATGCATACCGGGGGTGCCGTGTCTCACGCGAGAATCGAAACTCTTTTCGATGAGCTTCTCTATCGCGTTCAAAACCGACGGCGAGGTACCTAACGGAGCGGTGCCTTCATTGGTGTTCGGTGTAGGAGTATCTTTTCCAGGCGTGGTCGCGTCGCTGGCAGAGGATGGAGACCGGTGATGCCTCGACGATATCGAGGACGTTTCCTCATTGACGCTCTTACGTCCGCTCTCGGTTGGCGGTAACGTCGCAGGTAAGTGATTGGACATGAGCGCGTTCTTCAAAAAGTTTCGCTGATTGACGCCCACCGTGCCTGCGCCGATGCATTGACGTATGTGCTCCACAAAGAGCGGAGTTTCGATCTTCTCTCCACATTTCTCGCACGTAATTCTGCTAGCTTGCTTGCCGAGATGAGTCAGATTGGCGGCAGCGTCACCGTTTTTGAATTCGTTCTGCGCGCGTTCCAATTCCAACAGTTTCCTCACCGGCAGTGACTTTTTTCGCTTCTCTCGCGTTTGCCGCCGACGTCCTCCGCTTTCGGTAATCGAGCGCATTATGTGTTCCTTGTAGTGCGAATTCTTCACCATATGGTTACTCAACTCCTTCAAAGAACTGAACGCTTGATCGCAAACCTTGCAAGTTAGCACAGCGCTAACGTGACTGCTCGTCGCGCCAGCACCAGGGCCGCCGTTGTTTCCGCCGTGGGGTCCGGATCCACCGCTCGGTTGTACTCCGGCATTGCTTCCTCCACCGCTATTTCCGCCACTTCCAGCGGAGCCGGTAGTATTGCCGCCCTTGCTCTCGTCGGACGACTTCCAGGATATTATTTGCTCCTGAGAAATAATGTTTGTGTAATGCTGCGTTTGTTGCATATGCGAGGTCATTTCGGCCAGCGAACGGAAGCTCTGCCCGCACCACATGCATTTGAGAATCTGCCGCGTTTGTTCGGCACCTTTACCTAACCAGACATCTTGACCTCGCACGAGTTTTCGCGGCAGTGGCATCGTTTCTTTGATTAAAAGATTCAAATCGGATGGACTTTGCTTGTTACTAGGCGTAGCCGAGTTGTTGCTACCAGTGTTACTGCTGGAAGTTTGCGGTTGGTGCGATTGCTGAGGAGGCGGGATGGTTGGCATGCTCGTCTGCTGCGAGTGAATCCCTGGCGCCGGAGGTGGTACTGGCATATTGACGCCACAGTGCTTGGCTTCTTTCATGTGCGTTGTCATCGCTGCTAGAGTTGGAAAACTCTGTTTGCACCACACGCATTTTAAAACATCCTTGGCTTGATCAGCTCCTTTGTTCAACCAATGAGATTGCCAGGCGCTGTGACGACTGCTGGACGTTGTGGCCGGCGCGCTGGCACCCGTTACGGCAGCACTGCCTCCGGAGGACGATCGGAAGAGATCCTCGCCGCCGAGTTTACTCAACTCGCTCATTTTCTCGAGAGCCTTTGTAGCTTCGCTAGGTTGATACGGTTTTTCCAACGCCGTTGGTGGTTTCATCTTTCCGTTCCAAAGCTGATGATGATCCACTACGCCGCTAGTGCTTTTCGGTGAGAGCTGCTGCTGACTAGTAACTGCTGCTACCGCTGCAGCAAAGTACGGAAAATGCGAGGCCACCACCGGAGATGTCCAGGGGGATACTATAGGTGGTCGGCCAAAGCCAGATGGCGCGACTCCCGGTGCCGTTTCTTGATGGCTCGTGGAACTCGTCGAAGAGGCCAATCTCGATGACTTGCGGGGTGGCGGAGGCGACAAATTTTCCGTCTCGGGTCGTTTTCTGCTGGATACCGAGAGATCCAAGGGGCCATTGTTCGTCTCCGTCGAGGAAGACGGCGTAGGTGGTTTGCTGAGATTCAATATCTGTTCCTCTTCATCGTCCTCGGTCAAGGATGCTTTCCTCGTGCTAAAGTCCAGCACGGCCGGTAAGGGTGTCGCTGACGGCGACATCTCCCCAACGCTCGTAGGCGATACCAAGAGACCGGGGGTAGCGGCTGGTGGCGAACACGACGAGGAAACTAGAGGTGACACCGAGCCGCGCGATAAAGGCGAGTGGCCGAGAAGGAGGCGCTGATGAGTCTGTTGCAGATACGCCGCCATGACTGCTGCAGAATGGGGTGGTAGCAGGGGATGAGTTCCAAGGGGTAGAGGCACGATACTACTTGGACTGACTGGGCTCGCGCTGCTCCTGGTAGCAGGTGGTGGGGGACTTCCGGTCGCCGGACCGGATGATTCCCGAGAATCTCTCGAGGGACAGCGCGGACTCATTGGCTCCCTGAAATTGCAAATGATACCGAGTGCTGTAATGTTAGAGTACGGACGCGCGTCCCTTCTCTGAGAGAATCTTTCCACGCGTTCGAGAGATTGTGCGACGAATAAAACAAATCTTACCGGAGCTTCGCGAAATGTTTGGCGAAACTCGCAATCGAACAGCAGCCATTAATCGTGATAATTGTGCGATAATTTTCTTGTAACCGATCCGCGAGCATCGGTATAACATAGTTGACGCTATTAATATTTCATAACCGTCCGCCATGAGAATTACTACGCAAATAGCTTTTGCCGCGCTGTATGATGGAAACGACGGATACCCGGATAACCCATCGATAAAGTTAAGCGGAAAAAAGGCTCGCGTGATAGATAAAGCCTAGAGCCACGTTGGCGTGTTGCGCGATGGATAATTCACGTTTGAGAAACGTTGGCGTTTCTAATGTGTACGTATACGCACAAGGGTATACCGCGTAAAATGCGCGCGATAGATTTGAACAAGAGACAACAGACTGTTACCGCGCGTTATCGACATCGAAAGTACACTTTACGACAAATTACTTGTTGACTTTACGTAAAACAAAACAAAACAAAAAAATACGCGCGCACATTGGCTGCGAACGTTTCTCGGCCCGCGAGAGTAATACTCGCGAGGTGGCGGACCTCTGTCGTGCGACAAATTACGATTAATTATACGCTCCGACGACGAACGTTAGTCATCCGGCTCGCGACAAAAACCGCGAGGGTTTAGTCGAAGCCGTGCGATCGATACCTGTCGCAACGTCATCAACGCGCGCGAGGTACAACTACTACTATCGAAAGGGAGCACGTGGCGCGGGGACGATTAGGGCCAGCGCGAGGCTATTGTAACGGCAAGGCTCTCGATGCGCGGCGCGACGCGGCGCAACAACGTTCCAGACCTGTCGACGGCTCGCTCGTAACTGACTGTTCCTGACTGAATGCCGAATGCGTACCGCGAGATGAAAGGGGACCACTGCCACGCATGCAGGGGAAGTTTTTGGGGGCTGGCGGGACAGGGCGGCACAACGCGCGGGTGTAGGGAGGCGGGAGCGCCACCGCCGCCCCTGGTTAGGAGGTAGCGCTGCTAGCGGGGTCGTCGGTGTGGGAAGATGTGTAACACGTGCCTATCTCTATTAGCCGTGTGACGTTGCGCGCGGCACAGCCACCGATATCAACTCTGACAGCGACTTATTTATCCCTATCCGGGCCTCGCTCCGCTTAACCCTGCCGCCGACGCTTACCTCGCGCATACAAGCTTATACGCGCGTTTACGGGAGAGGCCCGCGACGATTTGTTGCTCTCAAAACAACGACGAGCCGGGTACACATGAGGGGCGCCCGACAACGGCGAACATGAAAGCCTCGCGACGTCGCGTCGGCGCGGCTAGCGATCGCTTCAACTTACGCTTTATTATAAGAAGCTTCTCCCTGCTCCGATAAAAGCAGCGAGTCTTCGGCAAACAAGGTTGATTAAAATTCTCTTACGTTATCATCCGCGATTACGTGTCGCTTTTACGACTGGCGAGTGATTTGTACCGAGAAATCATTCGCGCCACAGTTGATTTGCATACATTTTCGATACAGTGTTTTTACTACCAGAGTTGGAAAAGTATTTCACGTTGAGCGTTTTCTACGTTCTTCAAGTAAAAGTAACATATAAATATATAGAAAAACTCTGTGTTGATAAATATGTAAAACCGAAAACGCGGTTATTATAAATTGAGACTGACGAAAAAATTTCTAAATTGTCAGTGCAACATTTTTTATGAAGAAATGATGTTATTAATTTTCATCGGTAGAAAGAGTTTTTTTATCAGAAATGATTTTTATATTTCTACGCAATAATTTTATCGACTATTGTCGAAAAAGAAACAACTTTTTTGAACTGATATTAAATAATGTTATATCTGCTTCTCTTTCAGCAGGTGTAAAAATCACTATTATTAAAATTGTTATACAGACACGTATATTGAATGTTTACCTGTCCGGAGGTCCCGTGTCTCTCAAGATTGTTGGGTTTAATCTCGAGGTGGTGGAAGGCGGTGGCGTAGGCGGCGATGCCTCCTCATCGTCCTCTTCGTCCGTTCCATCGGCATCCTCGTCCTCCTTCGCAGCGGGCATGCAGCCCCTTTCGCTGGGACTAATAGGGCCATCCTCGTCGACGCAATCGCCCTCCTCGCCTTGGAGGTCCGTACCGGGCGCAGAGCCTTCGACGCCGTCCTCCCCTGAAACGAATCGTGAAACGAACAAATTAGTCGTCGTTATGCCCTACGCGCATTTACGCAAAGGTAGTTTTAAAAAAAGTTTATCCTATAAAAACATGCCACGCATAAAAAAATAATGGCATGCTATACGTTTCTATTAAATATATGTAGCAAAATATGTGTATGTACGTGTGTATATTGCTATTTATATGAAAAAATTAAGTTTGTCGCCCTGCAACTTGACAAGCAAGATTTACTACCTCCACGTATAATGAGAAAATTAAAAAATAAATAAATGAAACGCGATAGATATCAGCAGTTGATGACACCGTGCAGCGTCTTCTGCGCCTTCTACATCGTTGATGTAGGACGCGAATCAAATCCTTCTGTCACCCGCCGTATCTTGATAGAATAGCAGAGAAGAACGTACGACCCAAGAGTGGAGATACTGAGAAATGACGAAGCTAAGTACCTAGGAGTGATATAAAGGTTTAGATGGCGAGTAACACAATGGCACTATCGGTTCATTTATCAGCCTTTCGCGACGGCAACGTCGGCGACGACGACGACGACGACAACGACGACGACGATCAAGAGGAAGAGGAAGAAAGAGAAAATGCGATCCATGTCGGATACGTCGTCGTCGCCGTCGACGACGAGGTATTGTGTGGTGAGACAAGGAGTTCCATCATCTGCATTATGAGTTTTAATCAAATCGTTTCCATTTGATCTCTTGGTAATGAATGGCGGTGTCACCGTTGCATCAGAGAAAACAACTCGATCTAAGATCGAGTCGACAGATATTTCAAGAGGAGTTATGTTGCGTAAATATTGTAAATGTTTTTCAAAAATTTCTTGTAGCGTTCAATCAATTAAATTTTTTTTTTTACGATTTAAATACGCACACGTGAAAAGATTAATCGTATAGCTTATTCATAAGAGAGGAAAAATAAGATAAGGCTACATTCGACAGATCCGGATGCGAATAATAACGCGAATAACTCCTCGGGTCGCCATCTTGCTCCTATCCTCTTTGAAGAAGGGAGTGCCGCATCCTCGATCGCGAGCAATCGCCAAGGCAAACGCGAGCGGGACGAGAAGCAGAAAATGGTCAGCATACCTCCCTTCGTAGAGGGTGGGAACAACCAGGAGCACCGTCCTACTTTGCCGAGTGACCAACCAAACGATCGTTTGTTCGCAGACAGGCTACGGAAGAGGGAGAGAAAGGAGATCGCACATTGATCCGCGGGAGCATCAGCAACTAATTACGCAGATTTATGTCCCCATTGTCCATTGTCTCTCGGAACGATTCTCCAGGACCCTGGCGCGGACCATTCGATGGAAGCGACTGGCTGGCCGATCCGGTCGGGACCAGCCGTAGGACGGTTACGTGCACAGAGAGAAGAGAACGACGGGGCGACGACGAGAGGAGATAAAAGGAGGACCTTCGAGGATCGCTTCGATCCAGTCGCGTATCGAAGAGGAGAATGCGAGAAGTCGAGGAACCGAGCGGGCGGACCACCGGCGGACAGCTCCGCCCGCTACAAATATAGTCCATCTTTTACTCTCGCGTCCTTTTCCCTTGTCGCAGAATCCTAGAGTCTCGCACGAATTTGCGTATCGTTCGTTTTCTATCTTTCCCTCTCTATTCGCGCTCTCCTCGCCCGCTCATTCGCGAAGGAACCGCACCCGTAGTAGCGTTGCGAAATTTCAATCGTGATCGTAGCATTGTGCCACCTTCGTCTCCAGTCAGAGATTTCAACGAGCGCTGCTTAGTTTCCGGAAGCGGTACGGTGTCCCGAGAAAGAGAGAGAAAGATGCCATTTTCACGAATGCACAATAGTACACTGCAGAAATTACTCGTTTGAGAGACAAAACATTTTACGAACGATCAATATTAATCGTAAGAACAATATCGAGGTAGCTTACTCTATTCTAAAGTCACCAAAGATCGATAAATTTCTCATTTTTAGCGGTAGCAAGTATCGTTATTACACCTTTTAAAAATTACACGACGCTACCGTAACGACAAAGGTCATCGGGGGTTCCGCGGTTCGAAAGTATTCCACCGGTGATCAAGATCGATCGTAGGATAGCGACGTCGAGCTCGGTAGAATGTAAATGCTCGCACGAGCCGAGTTCGTGCGGACCTATTGGCAGGCCGCTAACAAGGACCGCACCGGATTGCATATCCTGGACCGGTAGCCGCCGGTAAAGATACGCCGGGAACGAGGAGCGTAGCGTACTGAACTTAAAAGCGGCCCGAGTCTTGACACTCGGGGAGATGCTACCGGCCGATATCTGTTTCTTGCCGCTGTCCTTGACTCACCCGCTGCACGTTAGAAAGAAGCGCGGTGTATTAGTGGATCGCGCTATCTTGGCGATGGTTCTGCGCCAATACCCGCCTACACGACTTGCTCCACAACAATAATTAGTCTTATCGGCAAAGCATCCGCTTTCTCTAGCCCGTTACGATCTTTGCCCAATATTTTTTTCCGTCTTCTCTTCCTCTCGCTCTTTCACAAATGTGCATTCTTTCGCTTCTCTCCTTCACGACGAACCTGCGCACGAGCTTCGGATATAGATAGCAAACACCTGCATACATTGGCATACACATGTTGTAATGTACCAATGGTTAACTTTGATGGTATTAGCTATTCTGTGAGCTATAGTCGTAAGACTGAACCAGTCACGCTCGCTATTCCACGTGTGGACGATCGGCCGCTGCTAATTGCTGTTAATCCAGATCTTTCATGCGATTGTCGAGTTTGTTCGAGAAAGAAAACTACGATAATTTTATTTATTTAAATTTATATCATAAATTAATCGAGAAAAATTACCAAGTTTTTGTGATAAATATATTCAATAATTGTAAGTTACAACAATTATTATAATTAAGAAATTCAGATTAGACGGGAAAAAAATTTATTTTTCATTATTTTTAAATATTTTAATTTTTACGAAATAATCTGTTTAATCTGCTTGACTAGAAATTAATGATGTACGAAACATACAGAGTGATAATTAATGGGAATAATTTTTATCATTAAATTTATTATAATCCTAGAGCACTCGATCTTAATTTTTTAAAATATAACGCACGTAATGTGTAATATATGTATGTTTTTCAAAACTGAGAATATAAATCTAATTATTTTTGCCTATTTTTGAAAGTATTCTTTTAAGGACTATTCTTCTAGAAAACGATTTGTCACTCTTAGACATGCGAAGGCGGAACGAGTCGCCAAGATGAAACGCGGTAAGCCTTACAAATGGCAGAACGAAAAATAAGGTGTTAAGACAGGAATCCTTTAGTGCATGTTCATAAATTGCGGCGAGTAAGGCGTAAATTTTAACGCGCATAAGCATTCGCACTAGTGTCAGCTTGTGTACTTTAGTGATTTACGCGCAATCAACGCGTTAAATCAGTTAAGTTTGCTTGTAATTAACATCTACGCCGAATATTCGCCTACTAAGAAAATTTATGACGCGAGATGTCTGTTTAATTGTTTGTAAGAAACGTAATACGCATAGCGGCAATTTTAAAAGAGACAAAAGAGAGCCTGGCACTCTTTATCTAAATATAATTTACATAACTCGGCGCGCGCAATTAAACGCAATTAAAAACATTGTTATTAAGATGAATCGAGATCAACTAATCTAACGTATCGCTTCACAGAAGAGAATCGATCTTCTCCGAGACAAAGACGTGGCGTATTAAAAGGAAGCTCTTCCCTCGAGAATTATTTTACATTCGCCGATGTGTGCGATACGTTAGACGTTTGCGAGAATTATTATGTACGTACAAACATCCGTTGCTCTATTCCTCATTGTTAGACAGGCCTCGTCGGTGGATACCGGTAATTACATAACCACCGTGTTAGAATGTAGAGCTGCGTACATAAGAAAAGATCTTTGCGAGGCACGAAGTTAATTTCTCGTCTCTTTCACGTCGGGATAGCCGAGCGAGGAGATGTCGGGACGCCTCTCTTCCGAGACGGATCTCTGATAAGTAGTACTAACTCGCGCTCGATTATCTCTTTCTCTCTCTCTCTCTCTCTTTATTTTAGCGAATATCCCGGGGAGGCGCGGATCGCTCGATGGCAATGACGTCACGCGGCTCGCCGGGGCAAGTAACCGGGTCGAACTTTAGCAACGTCCCGGCAATAAAACAGTACATAATAACAAGCCGGCGGCTGCGGCGGCAGGGAGGGAACAAAAGGAGAACCTGGAGGAGGACAGGAGAGGAGATGAATTTCTGATGCGGGAGAACCGTCGGAAGGCTGGCGGGGAGAGTGACAGGAGGCAGACGAAGAGACGAACGGATGGACAGGCAGACAGACGGACGAACGGACGGGCGGACAGAAGGACGAAGAGGGACGGCGAGAAGAGGGAAGCCTCGCATTGTGATTCTCTCGCGGTCTGCCAGAGAGTGACTGACGGGTGAATCCGTTTTCTCCTTCCTCCGCGCCTCTTCCACTCTCCCTTCGCGCGTGCCTTCTGTCCTTCTTTCCGTGTCTCTTTTGCTCCCCTCCTTTCCCCTCCACCCCTCATTTTCCCCGCGATTCCTCCTCCTGGAGCAACCGGCTTTCAAAGCCTCATACTCGATCCGCATTCGAAAGATACAAGACGTTGATTTACGACTTCCTCAAGTGATGATCCAGATTTTTCAGATCGGAAGGGTCGTGGGCTCCGAACTCGGAAAAATATTCATTCTTGTTTCGAGAGTTTGAACAAAGACGCGATTATAATCCCCGACGAATGAAATATCGATGTTTAAAGTATCCGTATAAATACATAAAATTGATAACGATTGTACAGATGGAAAGAAATTTGATCAATCACGCGTTATAATTTCTTCTAGTTTAACATTTGTGCGAAATGTGATGATAAAAAACTTTTAATATTTTAAATCGGTACTAACAAACGCACACACTGATCTGAGTACGCGACAAGTAAAGAAAGAATAAAGTGGCAACTATCGTTGAAATTGATGCGCAAGTTTAATTGAATGACAATGT